ACTAATTCTAATATCTCAAAAAAATTCAAATAATTTAATACAATTTTAAAAAAGTTATTTTATTTGATTTTCACTATGAACTATTGTATAAAAATATATTACAATATAAATATGTTTAAAAATATATTACATTATTAAATATAAAAATATAAATAAAATAAAAATACCTATTCTTCTGCCTTTGAACATTGCACCATCTTCATTTTGAATAGCTTTCTGAGCAGATTGTTCTTCTTCAAATTGAACAAAACCAAATCCACGATTTATTGAAGAACCAACAACGGTTCCATATTTTGAAAAATGTTCTTCCAATTCAAGTTTAGTCATATCATCAGTTTGTAAGTGACCCACAAATATACGGCTACTTACAGTAGCAGGATCTTTTAAAAGTCTTATATTCATTTTGAAATGATGTATTTATAACAATGTAATTTTTTTTGGAAAAAAATAATTAAAGAATGATAATATCAATTTCACTCTCAATAATAAAAACTGAGGTTATGTTAGAATACTGACATTTACTTCTTCATGTATTTCATTTAAATATATTTCAATTAACATAAGAATAATAATAATGTATATAATGAATTATTTTTGTTCACTTTTTGCTCTATTTCTAATTATAATAAGATAATAATATTGATAAAATAACGTTCGTTTCAAAACAGAATTGTTCAATCAACAATTGAAACATTTCGTACGATGGCGTGCGCATGCTAGATTTATTTAAGTACGTTCTATTTTTATACTTATGGAAAAACATTAAACCTTCTGTACGTTTTCAATTATTAAATATTGAATATGCTTCCAATCGATGAGTTATACATATAGAAAATCGAACTTTGAAAACACACCTTAGGATTATATAAAGAGAGACAACTCTCCATTGACAAATTCCTTGTTTCAATAAAAAGTCACAGTACGTTAGTATTATCACATTACTCGTCAAACAGGTATGCATTTATTGATAAACAGATTGAAATATATTTTGTTTTATGAAACAAATCGAATGTTAAATCTGCTTTGGGATTACTACAACTGACAAAATATTAAAGAAGAAAATATTTTTCAGCGCCATCTTGCCTCGTAATTGTAATTCGTCAGTGCCTGTGAATGGACTTGTCATAAGTGTTTTATATTATTTTGTTTCTTATTTCCGTTAAAATTAGTATATTAAATTTCCAGTCTATATTACGGTAAGTTAAAATGTTCTATAAATTTGTAATTAAATTTAACAGATTGTCATTAACACATAAGTACAAGTGGTATAATCCGTAGAATTGGAATACATGTTTGATTTCATTTCGATAGTATATAATAGTATATAATATATAATAGTTTTTAGATAAGTATTTTAATCGTAATGTGTTTTTTTATTAATTCGTTTCCTCTATTTTATTCTATGTTAACCTATATATGAAACGGATTGAAAAAAATGCAGTATTACAAAGTCACGCCCGAGCATGAGAAAGTATAGATAGTTTCGAAATTGACATATCACGCATTTTCATGGATTAGTCTTGCACCTAAACCAGTGTACGTATATCTATTGTATTAGTTGTATCTAAAAGATAGCCGTAGTATACATATTTCACTTATAAATCTATTGAAAAGATTTAATTTAATATTTGTGTAATATATAATTATCATTTTTATATATTAATACACATATGTGTATTAATATCTGTTGATTTAAAATTTCAAATAATATAAAAAAGAATACATTAATAAGTTTTTTTTATATGCAAGGTATACAAGAAATTTTTTACATTTACATAGAAAAAAAGAATGATATATTCAACTATTATACCAATTGTCTAAAATTTAATTTATAAGAAATTGTCATTATCATATTAATAATATTTTAGATGTAATGTTATATTTTTTTTATTTTTGTATTTTATTTCTTACTAATAAGATTTGTTATTATTTGTCTAAATTTATTAAGAAATTATGAGGATAAAAATAGAAATCAATAGTTTCACGGTCATTATTAGATACAATATATATTAACTATCTTAAAGAAACCATATAATGATAATCCTAAGTATATACAATATAAAATTTTTATAATATATATAATTAACTAATTATATTTAAATTTTAAATTTGAATTGAAAAATCGTTCTGATATAATTACATAAAATTTTTAAATATATTATTTTTATTTTCTTTGTAGAAATCCATATTGTACATATATGATGATAAGATAAAATATAAATATAGTATTTAATAGAAGATAAAAACTTTCTTCATTTTTCAGTTTATTAACAAGGCTTTTTGAAGAAAAATTTGAATTTCCCATTGTATTAATGTAAGTAATTTTATTTCTTTTCATTATTGCATGCAGCCTATTTTTTTTTTTTTTTTTAAGTAGTTTGGTTTAAATTCTTTCT